CATTGTTTCTTCAAATATTTGTAAAATTTACCAGCAATTTATGATGTCCTACCTGAAGAGGAGGATAACATCAACAATATAAAAAAATGGTGCCGTTTCCAAATCATAGACTTAATGTGGACTGAGGAAAACCTGCAAGAGCTCCCTCTATGGCTATGTTCCCACTGCAGGCAAATGTGGCCCAAATCTGATTTTTTTTATTTTTTGTTCACGTGTGACTCAGATCTGTTTTTCTCATGGCAATGTGAACAGCACAAACCACATGGAATCTGATCTTTCCAATTCCGATTTGTGCCACTTCAATATGTGGTACTAAATCAGATACAGGTCAGGTGTTTTGCAATGCGACCGCAGTGTGAACAGTCATATCGGAATTCATGCCACTTTTACGTCACTCTAGATCAACTTTCGTCACGATTCTGCGCTCATGGGTGTCTCTTCAAATATTTTACATACCCAAAGTTATCAAGACAGTTGCGAAAGGTAGTCAGTGTAAGTACAGTGACATGTCAGAACTCATTAGTATTACAGTGACTCTATATACAAGCAAAACTTGAGGGCACGTATCATAAAAGTTTCAAAACTGCTCTCTTCTGTCACGTCCTTGTCTTTATTTTTCATATTGCCTGCACATAAGTTCGCTGGCTTCTGCAGCAGATCATGCTTTAAATAAATGCATAATCGCTTACTTTATGTCCTCCGTGTTTACTTCTGTATGACAACGCCCTGTGCAAGTGTTGCCAAGTCCACGGTTTTCCTGCAGAATTGGGCTACTTTTTCACTGTTGCCGCAGGTTGTTTTTCAACTCCATGGGTTAAAGCGACCCACTAACGTGATATATACCCCCCGGAGCGCAATTGGGCTAGTTTTGAGAAGCAATTGGGCAGATTTTATTATGAAAACCTGGCAACCCTGTTTGAGATGTTCTTTTGCACATGCGGGTCAGTTCAGAACCATTATCTGTTCGCACTGGAAATCTGATATTGGCCACATTTAAACAAAAAATGTGAACAGCTATTAAAAAAAATCAGATCTGAGCAAAAATCGGAATTGAGCCCTAAGGAGGCAAAGTTAATCAGTCACAACCCTAACTTGACTATAGATCATATATCCACCAGAAAGCATGGAAATTATCTTTAAGATCTTTCAGTGCTTTGGTCGATATAGCACTCCAATTTTGACACCTTTTCTGAATAACTTCGGCCCGTGAATGAACCATTATCACACAGACCCTGGCATTATGAATTTGTTGACAGTCCTTAAATTGATTAATGGCACAATATAAGATTTTCGTAATAAAATATCCAAATACTGCTTGCACATTGTTATATATTTCATGCAGTTGTGCACTTACGTTATCCCAAAAGATCCCAAGGATTTTTAAATCCAGAGAAATTCCAGTTTTAAATAATGGCTCATCCTGGTTCATTGTGACCTATCAATTACGTAATATCCGCGCTATCGGTTTCCACTCGTAGAAACTATGGCAACACACGTGGACAAAAATGCTGCTGCAGTTAAACTAAATCCATTATGGCAGTTGCAAATATAATTTAAATTAAATGAAAAGTGTTGACTGCAGCATTAAATTTAGATCTGCTCAATGTTGCGCCGTTAATCGTTGCGCATTATAACCAATCACACACGAGTCTGTTGAGTTTATGAACGCAGCGCCCAATCAGAGGCGTTTAGATGAGTCATCGCTGAAACACCGGAGTTTTGTTCAGTGCACGCGCTCGCTGAGTGTATTTTCGCTGAAACACCAGAGTTTTGTTCAGTGCGCACTCGCTGAGTGTACGTATGAGTGAGATGTACGTATGATGAAAGAAATTCATTCATCAAACTGTATAGTCAGCTTTACTGATTATAAGGCGAGTTTTTTTTAAGTCAGGCATACTGATGTACATTTGTACATCTCTGGATGGTGAAAACGACATTTCCCATCGTTCCACTTTCCTTCATAGCGTCATCAAGCTTTGCCTTTGTTATTGTTTTCAAAATGCAACCTCTAGTGGCAAAAAGTTACATATTGTGTCTTAAAAAAAAAAAAACTTTTAAGATTGAGAAAAACACAACAGAGATTTTCTTTATTAATTTGTGGTGGGTGGTTACATCAGTAACAACATCGTGTTCACTTAACACCAGGATGCTTCATGAGGATTAAGTATACCTTTACTATATGTAAAATATATAATACATTATAGGTGTGTCTGCTATAAGTGTCTGCAAAATGCTATAAAGAAACAAATATATATTTAATTATGATATCTTGCATCGCTTGTCCCACAACCAAAGCCGTAACCAGCTGAGGTCACTGAGGTCCAGGCCTTGGTACATTTTTCACATTCAAAAATCAATTTTTGAAAAACTCTGAATGAAAATTAAGCAGTTTCAAACTTCTCCTTTGAGTGTGTGCATGTATAATTCATTTTAGACAATTTGCTAGGCACAGCACATAAAAGTGTTGAGGGAAGAGATGTCAAAAAAGAACACTTCATGATACTATAATTTGCTAACCATTCAATTAATTTTTTCCTTGCACCCTATTGTTTTGAGTTTTTCATGTGTGCAGCACAAAAACACACCCACCATATCTGATCCCATGATTGTGTGTCAATCGTTTGCTCGTATTTTGTTCCTTAACAACAACCTTTTCCAGGTAATCACCCTTATCATACAGGAATATTGTTTTGACAGCACTTACTTTTCTGAGCCAAACAAGCAGCGGTCACTAACATGCTGGTGTGACAACATGCCGACTCCGACAACACATGACCTTGAGGTTATTTCTCCATCGAGTCAGTCTCTCTCCAGCTTGCACATCTGGGGAATTCCAGGAGGGAAAACAAGATGGCTTTAGATTTCTAGAATCTTTAAAAGGTCACAAATCCAAACAAATGCCAGCAATGCCAAGCCTTTTCCCCTTAGACATGGCGATCTGGCAAGCAAAGAGTCAGACTCCAAGCAGAGAGACATTTTTATGACAGAAAAGGTTTTAATATGAGTTTGGCCTTTAATTAAATGCTTCAGATTGATTATTTGTTGAAAGCCGAACAGGAAGAAAGCAGAGCAGTGTTTCACTGGACGAGGATTACAATAACAAGGACATCTTTCTTATATGGCTCTTCCAACAATTTCGGGTCTGTCATCCTTCTGTTTGATTTAAAATGTGAATTATCTGGCAGTTCAGTAGCAGGCCATCGAGAAAAGTGATGCTTTCTACAGCTAAATGCTTGTTTTTCTGCTGTACTACACACTACATTTACTAAACCCTTGTGAAAAAAGAAGTACAGTTTAGCATATATAAATAAAATAAAAACAGTACTTATAATGGGAATAATACAGGCCTATTTTAAAATAATTAATTGTATTGTCTTTGAAAGTGTACTGCTGAATGTACTGACAAACATTTACAGTAAGCTAACATACACTTTAATGCCATTCCATTGAAACTTGTGTATTTAAATATATATTTTTAATCACACATTTGTAATTTCTGGAGTTGCAGTTTAGTACAATTGAAGAATATCAACTTTAAATGTAATATTAAATAGCATACTATAGTTATTAAAATTGTATTTATCAGTTAGTATAGGTAATCCACTAAAATAACTGACAATTCTACTCTAAATATTAGGTAACACTTTACTTGAAGGGGTGTGCATAAGACTGACATGACACCTTCATTATCATGACATGACACATGTCATGAATATGAAGGAGGTTTTATGCATGTTTATGACAACTGTCATTAAGTGTCATTCGCTCAGTTATGTCATTTTTAATGCAAATATGACATTATTTGACCTTATCCTAACCTAACCCTACCCCTACCCTTACCCCTAACCATAGCCCATAACAAATACATCTCAAATAATGTCATCTTTGCATTAAAAATTACATAACTGAGCGAATGACACTTAATGACAGTTGTCATAAACATGCATAAAAAAACCTTCATATTCATGACGTGTCATGTCTTGATTATGTAGATGTCATGTCATGATTATGAAGGTGTCATGTCAGTCTTATGCACACCCCTTCAAGTAAAGTGTAACCAAATATGATGTTTGTGTTTACTGCTTTGATTAAAATAACTAAGTCTGAAAAAAACAGATTGACTTTGCATTTCAATACCAGGTGCAAACAGGGCCTGAGTGCAAATAGACTTGTTGTACAATTATACTTAGTAAATCATGTTCGATATGTTCACAGAGTGCATATACAATCTGTTAGACTCCATAAGCAGATCAGTAACCATTATTAATGTATTTACTATTATCCCATGTGTAACAGACACACAGGACTGAATGTATATACCAGATATAAAAAAAGGACCATATTTAGATTGATATTGTTCCTATTGCAAAAGGGCATCTTTGTTTGCACTAGAGCATTTGAAGCATTCAACCCTTGACTTCAGGTTGACAGAAAATACTTTATAAATTCTCTGGGCGTGACATTTAATACTGAGGTTAGCACAAAGTAAAGGTGGCACCAGCAGCTTCAAAGAAAGGTTGACTTCAGCCAAGCGTCACAACCTGCAAACCAGTCCACTGCCTTCAGGGTTTCATTTCCTAAACTGTGCAAGCACAGCCTTCTGGATTTTAACCAACTCAGCTGTTTTGTGTGTGTGTGTGCATTGATTTAATTCTGATGTATTGTTCCGGTGTTTTTTATGTAGTTTCACGTCACATCTGAAATGTGTACTTGGAGAATTTCACATATAACATACTGATAGTTGATTGACAGTATGTTGGTCATGTTGTTTTCTAGTCACCAAAAACAATATATATATATATATATATATACATAACTCTACCAACATGTTTCTTGGACACTGCAGTTTCCGGCTGAAGTGAACAAAAGAGGCATTAAAAAAAACAACAAATGTTATGCCTTTTCACACAAATTATGATAAAAAAAATTTTAAAAGCTGTCCTTATATCTATCCGAGTTGTTTGTGTTGGTGTAGTAGAGGACCGAATATCTCTCTGAACTGCTATTCTTTTGTTCAAACTTGTTCACGCCGTCTTCAGCAGTGACCTGCACGAGCCACAAAGATGTATGCGAGCATGTGAGATGCACAGAATTTCCACTTCCCAGTTCTTTTTATGGCCTGTGTTTTGCAGAAGGTAAATGAGGCCTGCAATGCAACATTTCTGAAGTCATAATTCTAGCTCTGGTTGAAGCCTGGAATTAACTCAGGCAAAAAAAATCCTCTTGCTTTTCTCCAACTTCATGTTAGTAATGGGCTATTTTGTCAACATAATGCAGCAGCAAATGGAATGCAGTAATGACTGCATTTGCTGATTGAAATTGAAAATGAAAGGTGGATATAGGGGTTCTTTGCCCAGACCCATTTGAGGGAAGGCCTCCCAGCAAATGGTCTGTGCACTCATTTTTCCACAACACGGATCAAAAGGACCGGACGGAGAGGCCGAGAAACCATCTCCACTGCATTGAGCTTTGTTGCATTGTTTTTCATGTCTCCATCATCGTGTTTTCATTTTTAACTCGTCAGGGTTTTATCAGCAGGGTTAACTGTCTAACTGCTATTATGGAGTAAATTACAGGACAAAATAAGAACCAGAGAAAAGACTGAAGTCATACATTAATAATAATAAAGTATCATGTTGTCACGGAGAGACAGGAATCCACAATAGAGTCTTTAATTATCAAAACAAGAACAAAACACTCTGAAACTGAGAGAGACAACCACGATACAACTTTAACGCAAGACAAGGGAACTGAGGAAAACACAGGGCTTATAAACACATGGAACGTAATCAGTGAGAACAGAAACAGGTGAGGAGTAATCAATGAAAACAGGTGAACAGAACAAACAATGATTAACTAAATGAGAACAGGAACTGAACCAAATAGTGGCAAACAGGAACTAAACCGAAACAAACATGTGACAGATATCTCCCCCCCCCCCTCCGAAAGCCCCCACATAACATCGAGGGGTGGGAGGGTTGATTGCCTTGGAGGTCCCTTAGGAAAGGCTTGGACGGTACCGGTACCGGATCCGGGTCCCATGGCGGAGCGGGCAGCTCGGGGAGCCATGGCGGAGAGGACAGTTCAGGTTGGCATGGCGGAGCTGGTAGCTCAGGAAGCCATGGCGGATCCTCCGTGGCCTTAGCCGGCTCGGCCACGGATATATGCCCCCCCCCCACAATTTTTTTGGGGGAAAACTAGGAATCCTGGAGGGTGCTCTGCAGGAGCAGGCACTTGAGGGCGCTCTGGAGGGGATTCAGGGACTGGAGCCCTCCGTGGGCTACACTCGGGAACAGGAGCCCTCCGTCGGCTGGATTCGGAGACTGGGAAGCGCTTACGAGGAGCTGGCACTGGAGGGTGCTCTGGAGGAGCAGGCACAGCAAGGCGATTTCGAGGAGCTGGCACTGGAGAGAACTCAGGGGCTGGAGCTGACACTGGAGCGAGCTCTGGGGCTGGAGACCACACTGGAGCGAGCTCTGGGGCTGGAGACCACACTGGAGCGCACCTAGGGACCAGAACCAACCGCCTTCTCCTCCTCAGATTTTCCTCTAAGCTCGGGGTGAAAGGTGCGGCTGTCGGGCTTGCCATTGCAGTGACCAGCGGCTTTGGGTCAATGGCAGCCGGCGGGCTTCAGAGAGCAGCGGCCAGCAGGCTTGTCTTCGGAGCAGCGAAACGTGCACCGGTCTCCATGCCGCGGGAGGAAAAAACGGAAAAACAAAACTATTTAAAAAGATGGAAAACAAATACGGGGGAAAAGACGCCGCTTACTTTCAGTTTTTATGGTCTTGTGTTCTGTCATGGGTCGTGGTGTGGAGGAAGCACACGGAGAGGCAGGAATCCACGATAGAGTCTTTAATTATCAAAACAAGAACAAAACACTCTGACACTGAGGGAGACAACCACAACCATGATACAACTTTAACGCAAGACAAGGGAACTGAGGAAAACACAGGGCTTATAAACACATGGAACGTAATCAGGGAGAACAGAAACAGGTGAGGAGTAATCAATCAAAACAGTCAAATCAAAAGTGAACAGAATAAACGATGATTAACTAAATGAGAACAGGAACTGAACCAAACAGGGGCAATGTTACTTAATTTAATGCGAAAGCAGTTTATTTATTTATTTATTTTAATTATTATTATTTTATTTAGATTTTTTCAAAATCTGTCATTTTCTGTGGCTGTTTGGATGCAATAAAACACTTACAGATGAAGCAGAAAACATCAGGCTCATGTCTGTGCTTTCTTCAGTCACTGGCCATAATTCTGACTTTGAAATCAGGATTAGCCATAAAATAATGTCTTCAGAATCATTCATACATGTGAAAATGGGATGAACAAATTGTTGTAATCTGGCTCAGAGGAAGACAGGAATCATGTGTTTGTGGCAATTATTTTGCTGATTAAGGGAGAATACAAGACTTCCTCACCTTACAAATGGTCGTCGCCAGCATAAAATGCTATCAAAATCATATTTTGTGGTAACATTTTAGATTAGGGAACATATTCAAGAGTTTCCCCTCAATTAACTCCTAATTTGCTGTTTATTGATAGAAAGTAAAGTAGTTTTTGCAATAGTTTTATTTATTGGGTAGGGATCTAGAATATGGTCATACATTAATATGCAAGCACAAATCAACAGCTAATATGCTAGTAATATGCATGCTAATAAGCAACTATTTAGTAATAAAAACTGTTCCCTGTTTTGTGTGAAAGTGTGATGTGTTTGAGTAAAACAGACTGTATTTTTGTAATCAGCATCCCAAAAATTAGTAAGAAACAAAGGTTTTGGATTTCATTCAGCAAATATGATGCAGGGCGGTGTGTGTTATTGATTTAATGTGCCGTTCAATGTCCTTTGGGGGTTAATGTTTTTAAAAGTCAGTTATTACAATTGTTAGCTCCTCAGGCAAATTGGCATCTATTTTGCACCAGATGAAAATACATGCTGTAAACTATAAACAAAATCTTGAGGTTTCTAAAACATTATTTAAAAACACTGTTCTTTATGTAATTTCAGGGCATAAAATCAGTCAGATGGATAAATCAATAAAAATCTGCTCATTTAAAACATCAATCAATAATGACAGACATTTCCTCTCAATTGTCAGACAGATATATATATATATATATATATATATGATGCTGAAAATTTTATTTTGTATTATGTATTTATATAAATATTAAACAAAATTATGTTTACATTTCAGAATATATTTATCACTCAAATAAAGTCATATTGAATATGTCAAACAATCGTTTTTTTTCTTTTTTTTTCTTTTTTCTTATTTGAGTCTTATATGATCTCCACTGTGATCTGATCTAAACAGCATCAAGAGAAAAAAGCATGACATAAGAGCTGACATTTCTCACAGGGCCGAGAAATAAGTGTGTCTGGCTCTGCAGTCGAACAGGTGTTGATTGATGGCAGGGCTGAGACATCATGCCTCACAAAGTTTGTCAAGACTTTAAGCTGAAAATTGCCTTTTCCAAACAACTCTGGAGTTGAGAGGTTCTTTGGAGGGTTGAATGTGTGCAATGCTGCACATGTGCGATATATAAAACTGTATTTAATGGAAATTAATTGCTCTGATGCACTGCTGGGATATGATCATTTCTGACACAAGGAAATTATCAGCGTGTGTCTGTTTGCTTAAACTGATTAATTCAGTCATTGAACCAATCCATATTATCCACCCCTCGCACTGTGCAAGAGAAGATGTCGACTACGGATATGAATAAAACTGCATCTGTAAATATATGTGCTAATTTTGTAAAAGTATGTGTAGTACAGAATAATTAACACTGAGTTCAAATCATGCCTGCATATTCTCACCAGTCTTATTATTCAGTGTTGCAGCTTAATTTTTCAAATGATCAATAACAACATCTGTCAGGGATAGTCCAGCTTTGTCATGCCCAATCACCTCACACACCCGTTCACAATCACCGGAGTACTAATCAGCCGCACTTGTCACCACCTCATCAACACTAGCTCAAATACTCAGTCACTGCAGTTGCACTTTGTCTGGTCTCGAGTTCACTACGCTACTCCTTACCTGACTCACCCACCTGTCTTCGTCGAAGTCATCATCCGTCAGATCTGAGAAAGACAAAAGAAGCAGTCACTACATGAGCTATATCCCTTCAGTTCTGGAACTCTTTTCATTTAACCCGTTTGCTCTGCATTTCTCCCCTCAGCACCTCTGTTTCAATAAAGAACCCTTCTTACCCGTATATCTCCGTTTTGGTCTTCTTCTGTACTGTGACAGAAGACCAGACCCCCCAAACTCTACATGGAGCCTCAACCACAGAACCCCACTTCACTTAGAACACCCGTTGTGTCTGCCTCCCACAGTCCCATGGCCCAGCCTGCTATCTTCTCCGGTGAGAAGGAGGATTGTGGTGGCTTCCTGTCACAACGCTACGCCGACATTCATCTGCAAATGGTGATTTCTGACGATACAGTGGGTTCGGAAAACTTCATTCAGAAGGCTATCAAGATCTCCCAACATCTCCAGGCCTGTAAAAATGCCATACCACTCTCCTCACTGTCCACATCCGCCTCACCATCTCCAGCACCCGAACCAATGCAAGTGGATTCGTACCATGTCATCCATTCAGAGCATACACAGAGGATTACATCTGGACTATGTCTATATTATGGGGAGCATGGAGACTTGATTCGCTCGTGTCCTATCCATCCCGCACGACCCACGGTGAGTACTATCCAGCTCAGCCCTCAAATTACTACCTTAACTCGAATGAATGTATTAGTATTGTCCTCTTACCAATCCCTTTCAGCGCAAGCCCTTGTAGACTCTGGTTCTTCGGGTAACTTCATATCCCACAGCACCCTCCAAAGACTTCAACTAAGATCGCTGAAGAATGCCCATGTTCTGAATATCCTCACCATTCAAGGAAAGCCGTTGGGTTGTGGTAAGATCCAATTGTGTTCCCCCACAATCACGCTCCGCATTGGGTGCCTTCATGAGGAACTCATCTCTTTTCTGGTGCTGGAGAATTCCACCGTGGAGATCATCCTGGGATGCCCCTGGTTAACCCAACACTCTCCCATAGTTAACTGGACCACCAACGAAGTACTACAATGGAGTGAGTACTGTCTGCTGAACAGTATGACCAAAATTCGTCCACTGTCACCTTGTCTCCTCCCTGTCTGTGCTACCTCCATAGAGAGCCCCGAACCCACCGAACATCACATCATTCCCTTTGAATACTGGGCATTTCAGGATGTTTAGCAAGCGGGCCGCTACTAAATTACCACCTCATCGGCCATGGGACTGTGCCATAGATTTGCTGCCTGGAGCTCAACTCCCTAAGGGTAGAGTGTATCCATTGTCCATCCCGGAGCAAGGAGTGATTGAGGACTACATTAAGGAGGCTCTCCAGCAAGGCTTCATCCGTCTCTCCACATCACTGGCAGCATCCAGTTTCTTTTTTGTGGGCAAGAAGGATGGAGGCTTGTGGCCTTGTATTGATTAGAAAACTCTCAAACTGTTAAATACCCATATCCCCTTCCACTAGTGCTGGCTGCCTTGGAGGAACTTCGCGGAGCTTGTATCTTCTCCAAGCTGGATCTGCGAAGAGCCTATAACCTCATTCGTATACGCCATGGTGACGAGTGGAAGACCGCTTTCATAATACCCACCGGACACTATGAATATCTTGTTATGCCGTATGGACTATCCAACTCACCTTCTGTATTCCAAGGATTTATGAACGAGGTGTTCCGGGAGTTCCTTCATCACTCTGTGATCGTTTACATCGATGACATTCTCATTTACTCCCAGAACCTGGCCGAACAGCGCCATCATGTGGCGCAGGTCCTACAACAGCTGAGAAAATACCACCTCTATCTCAAGCTGGAGAAGTGCGAGTTCCACCTTACCACCATCAAGTTCCTCGGATATGTGATCAGCCCCCAAGGTATCCAGATGGATGACAAGAAGGTCCAAGCCATTCATAACTGGCCAAACCCAAAACCGTTAAAGAACTCCAACGCTTTCTGGGATTCTCAAATTTCTACCGTCGTTTCATCCACCGCTTCAGTCAGAACACCGCCACCCTAACTTCTATGCTCCGAAACAAGCCCAAGTCTCTGTCCTGGACGCCCAAAACCCTCGGGAGTTTTGAAAGGCTGAAGGAAGACTTCTGTACTGCTCCTACCCTCATCCTTCCCGATCCTCAGAAACCATTCGTCGTGGAAGTTGATGCGTCCACAGTAGGGGTGGGAGCGGTTCTCTCACAACATTCCGGAGAGCCTCCTGTCCTCCATCCCTGTGCATACTTCTCCCGCAAGCTTTCCCCGGCAGAGCAAAATTATGATATCGGGAACCGCGAGCTACTCGCCATCAAACTTGTGCTGGAGGAGTGGAGACATTGGCTGGAAGGAGCTATTCATCCATTCCAAGTCATCACTGATCACCGGAACTTGGAGTATCTTCGTGAGGCCAAGTGCTTAAACCCTCGTCAGGCACGGTGGGCGCTGTTCTTCACCCGTTTTCATTTCTCTGTTACCTACCTTCCCGGAACCAAGAACACCAGAGCAGACGCTCTGTCGAGTCTCCATCAGCCCACGGAACGATTTCTACCCTCTGAGACCATTCTCGCTCCAGCCATCATTGTGGGTCCCATCCAGTGGACGCTCGACGAAGAGATCCGTCGAGCCACCCAATCAGAACCTGCTCCAAGAGGTCCAAAAGGGAAGGTCTATTCCATCCACTCTCCGCAATACCCTTCTGGACTCACTGCACTCCTCTCCGGGCTCTGGACATCCAGGCAGCCAGCAAACCCTCTCGCTCCTCGAAAGCCGCTACTGGTGGCCCAATATGGCCAGAGAAGTCAAACGTTTTGTACAAGGATACTCAGTCTGTGCCATCACCAAATCTCCCTGTCAGCTGCCACAAGGAAAACTGGTACCACTTTCCATACCTCACCGGCCCTGGTCCCACATCGGAGTCGACTTTGTCACAGATCTCCCCGAGTCCGAATCTTACACTTGCATACTCGTAGTTGTCGACCGATTCTCTAAAGGATGCAAACTTCTCCCCCTCAGAAAACTACCTACTGCCATGAAGACCGCAACGCAGTTATCCAATCAAGTCTTTCGCATCCCTGAGGACATCGTCTCTGATCATGGGCCCCAATTCATCTCCCGGGTCTGGTGGGCCTTCTTCCAACTCCTCGGGAGTATCAGTAAGCCTCACCTCCGGATATAATCCACAATCAAATGGCCAGACTGAGCGAAAGATTCAGGAGATCGGGAGAAATCTTCGTAGCTATTGTCACAACAACCAGAACCGCTGGAGCCTTTACCTTCCCTGGGTCGAGTTCGCACAAAACTCCCTCAGGCAGCAAACCACCGGCCTCACCCCTTTTCAGTGCGTACTCAGCTACCAACCTCCCCTGTTCCCTTGGACGGGAGAACCATCTGACGTTCCAGCGGTTGATCATTGTTTCAGAGAGAGCGAGAGGGTCTGGGACTCAGCGCATGTCCATCTACAGCAGGCGGTTCGGAGACACCAAGCCCAAGCAGACGTTCACCTGCCGACCCACTCCACAATACCAACCTGGAGATAAGGTGTGGTTATCGACACGGGACATTCATCTCCGATTGCCTTGCCACAAGCGGAGTCCCCGCTACATTGGACCATTCACCATCAGGAGGCAGATCAACGACATCACCTACAGGCTTGAACTCCCTTCACACTACCGTATAGCACCTACCTTCCATGTCTCTCTACTCAAACCCTGTGTTAACCCTCTGTCTGCTTCTCCCACAGGGTCTGACGAATCCCACTTACCTCCTCCTCCCGAGATCGCTGAAGAAGGAACCATCAACCGAGTCAACTCTCTTCTGGACTCCTGGCGTCGAGGCGGCCGCCTGGAATATCTTGTGGACTGGGAGGGATTCGGCCCCGAGGAGAGATCATGGGTACGTAGAGACGATGTTCTAGATACCTTACTCCTCAGAGACTGCCATGACCTTCACCCAGATCGTCCTGCTCCCCAGGGCCGCGGCCGTCCTCGACGTCGGCAGCGGGCGTCGAGAGCCACCCGTGGGGGAGGGGGTACTGTCAGGGATAGTCCAGCTTCGTCAGGCCAAATCACCTCACACACCCATTCACAATCACTGGAGTACTAATCAGCCGCACCTGTCACCACCTCATCAACACTAGCTCAAATACTCAGTCACTGCAGTTGCACTTTGTCTGGTCTCGAGTTCACTACGCTACTCCTTACCTGACTCACCCACCTGTCTTCGTCGAAGTCATCATCCATCAGATCTGAGAAAGACACAAGATTCAGAGAGAGCGAGAGGGTCTGGGACTCAGCGCATGTCCATCTACAGCAGGCGGTTCGGAGACACCAAGCCCAAGCAGACGTTCACCTGCCGACCCACTCCACAATACCAACCTGGAGATAAGGTGTGGTTATCGACACGGGACATTCATCTCCGATTGCCTTGCCACAAGCGGAGTCCCCGCTACATTGGACCATTCACCATCAGGAGGCAGATCAACGACATCACCTACAGGCTTGAACTCCCTTCACACTACCGTATAGCACCTACCTTCCATGTCTCTCTACTCAAACCCTGTGTTAACCCTCTGTCTGCTTCTCCCACAGGGTCTGACGAATCCCACTTACCTCCTCCTCCCGAGATCGCTGAAGAAGGAACCATCAACCGAGTCAACTCTCTTCTGGACTCCTGGCGTCGAGGCGGCCGCCTGGAATATCTTGTGGACTGGGAGGGATTCGGCCCCGAGGAGAGATCATGGGTACGTAGAGACGATGTTCTAGATACCTTACTCCTCAGAGACTGCCATGACCTTCACCCAGATCGTCCTGCTCCCCAGGGCCGCGGCCGTCCTCGACGTCGGCAGCGGGCGTCGAGAGCCACCCGTGGGGGAGGGGGTACTGTCAGGGATAGTCCAGCTTCGTCAGGCCAAATCACCTCACACACCCATTCACAATCACTGGAGTACTAATCAGCCGCACCTGTCACCACCTCATCAACACTAGCTCAAATACTCAGTCACTGCAGTTGCACTTTGTCTGGTCTCGAGTTCACTACGCTACTCCTTACCTGACTCACCCACCTGTCTTCGTCGAAGTCATCATCCATCAGATCTGAGAAAGACACAAGAAGCAGTCACTACATGAGCTATATCCCTTCAGTTCTGGAACTCTTTTCATTTAACCCGTTTGCTCTGCATCTCTCCCCTCAGCACCTCTGTTTCAATAAAGAACCCTTCTTGCACGTATATCTCCGTTTTGGTCTCTTTCTGTACTTTGACAACATCACTGTTTTCTTGCAAGTTTGCATTCAGTTTCTTGCTAAAATCTTCCTTTAATTAATCTCATGTAATTATAGAACAGAATGTGCCATGCATTTGTGCAAATGCAAGTGAAAATTATTGTCTGCAAATGTGGGAAATTACACACTGCTGTAATCTGATACTTGATCATGTTTATATTTCATCACCTTGTATTTCATGTTTTCTATAGATTGAGGGTCAGGAATCTGGAACATTTGGAATCAGAAACATTTATTATTATTATTATTGGAAGCAGTTGAAGCATCCACTTCAGCAGTTTCATATTTTTAGTGATTTTTTCTTTTCTTTGATTAATAGAAAGTTCAAAAGAAAATAATTTATTTGAAATATAAACATTTTGTAACATTATAAATGTTTACCGTAATGCGTCCTTGCATAATAACAAGTTATTTATTAATGTATTTATTTATTTATTTACCCCAACTTTTCAATGGTAGTGTATCATGGTTTCTGAATGAATGAATGAATGAATGAATGAATTAATTAATTAATGAACGAACAGCACAACTGTTTTCAACATTGTTACACATCAGAGATGTTTCTTGAGCTGCAAATCAGCACATTATAATGATTTCTGCAGGATCAGGTGACACTGAAAACTGGAGTAATAATGCTGAAAATTCAGTTTTACATCACAGGAATAAGTTACATTTTAAAATATTTACATAAAAAAGAGTTGCTTTAAATCATATTAATATTTTGCTGTATTTTTGATCCAATAAATGCAGCCTTGATGAGCCGAAGAGATTTCTTTCAAAAATATTAAATATTTATCCAAACTTTCAACCGCCAGTGTACGTTCTAGCAGCATAAAAAGAGTTTAAAGCAACTCAGGAGAAAAAAACGTCTTCACACAGAGTTTTCTCTGAGTCCTCATGGCGAATGCCTTTGCTGCTGTAGCATCATTATGGAAATTACAAATGGCCCCTTCAAGTGGGTTTGCACATTTGCAGAGTGCTTTATTTGATTTCAGCTTTATTAGTCCTACAGCTAAATTCATTCTGCCAACAGTAGCAAGCCGAATGCTTATTAGGGGTGGAGGTATAGCATCTGTGTGTAAACACATGATTTAGCAATGAAATCAACCAGACTGTTTTATTGTATAGTCTTGTATGTCTACATAATAAAATACTTGGTTTTGAATCAGCATTATGTGTGGCCCTTTCCTGGATTAGACTCAGCCACAGATTAATCAATATTTAATGTTTTATCGCACCTATATAATTTTTTGGGGATTATAGCGCACAGTAGAATACGATTTTTCATTTTTTTAGAATACGAAGTTGTAAATAAAACAAATATCACTGGTGTGTTTTCAGTATTTTGTGTTAATTGTCATTTCTTTGTAATTATTTGAGAAATTTACTAGCAATTTATTAGTCAAAATTGTTTCACCGACATTTACTTATTTATTTGTTTGTGTGTTTATTTAGTCAGTTACTTAGTTAGTTTGATATGTAGTTAGTTACTGCATTGTGGACATGTTGAATTTCTTTGAATTGTCATTTCTATAAAAAAAAGAAACAATTCACATACACAATTAAAAAAGGGAGATATTCCCAAATTATGAATTTTGTCCAATCTTGAAGATTGTACCACAACTCAATTGTATTTATAAAGCACTTTCAACACCACAAAGTGGAACCAAATTGCTGTACATAAAAATAAAATATAAACAAGCATAAAACCAGCTCTATATGCTCTATATGTCAAACAGTTACACTAAATGTCTGATACATTTCTGATAAACACCTACGGTAAAACTGTGCTTCATCTTCAATATTCCTCTCATATGAATCTCATTTAGCTGATCCAAACACTAGCCTCTCATTCACTGTGACATGAAGGACGCATTTAAAACAAGACTGGTCTGAACCCTGCTGTCAAAACAAAAAAACACTGACCTGCTCTTCTGTGTGCTGGGGCAATTTATTCAGCGTTACATGCAGACATAAGTGGAACGGCGACCCCTGACCCGCTCTTCTCCCAAGAAGAACATCGAGTTCCCTGTCGGCTGCTGTCCCGCAGACAAACACAAGCCTGGAAATGTGAGGTGACGAACTGCTGCTTATTTGATAAAATATCTATTTCCTCAATCATGCTGATGTTGATTTAAGGCTCGGTAGGGATGATAAATAATGGATCTGGTTCATCTTTGTTTACGGTCTGAGAGCAGTGCCTGACTTTAAACAGATTTCTCATTTTATTCTTTTATTTATTCATTTCATTTCTTGAACACTGTTGCCGAGTAGAAAATTCAGAAAAAGTGTTTTGAACAATGATATGCTTCTTTAATATACTAGTATATTAGATGTAAAAATAATGTGCACCTTTTTTAATTGTTACTTTTGAAAGATAAATAATGCCACTTGATATCCAATCTAAATTCTGTAAAAAAAATCAATCAATCAATCAATCAGCTTAATATCTGAATGTCTGGCCGCTGAAACTTAACTGTAAAACCATTTTAGGTTTGTAACAACATTCGTCGGTCAGGAAGAAGGAGGTGGGAACCGGCGAACATTTAAACAAAACTTTAATAATAAAATAAACAAAACACAAAATGAAAGTAAAGCGGCAGCCCCTCGCGGACGCCTGCCGCACACAAAACACAAAATAAAGTCCAGACCTGGTCCTCTCTCGTCCAACACTGTCGTCACTCCTCCCTTTTATCCTGCAGGAGCCCCTCCGTGAGACTCGAGACCGGTGAGTGGTGCAGGTGTCACTCATTATCAATTCCTCCACCGGCCTCGCTCCGTTCTCACGGCTCTCGGCCCCGCCCCACTCGTCACATACCCCCATCGCCTCTCGCAGGCCGGGGGGTACTCCCGAGACTGCGCTCTACTCCTAAGTTGGTCCTCAACTGGCTGAGAGGCTCTCACTCACGGTGCCATGTGATGGTACTGGACATCGTTGGTGGATGGCCCACTGCTCCTCCGCCTCCTGGCGGACAGCGATGGCTCCTCCTATTGAGGGCAGCCGGCAGCGAGTCCCCCGTTCCCTGCTCCTCCCCAATCATAGTGGATGGCAGCAGGCTCCAGCCTTCTGGCGAACGGGGGCCGACTCCTCCGCTCCCTCACGGACGGCAGCCCCCCCTCCTCGACCCAGGAGCGCGGCAGTGAGCTCTCCGTCCCACCTCGTCTTCCATAGTTCCAGCACCACCGCCTCGGGCATCCACCGGCGGTCTCTCCGCTTGTTCCTGCTGCCCAATCTCCTCAGCACCTCGATCCCCCTCAGCAGCGAGGGCTCTCTGGCAGCGTGTCCCTCCTTCCTCCCGGGTTTCGGCACCAATGTAACAAAGTTCATAGTGGGAAGGAGGAGGCGGGAACCGGCGGACATTTAAACAATTTAATAATAAAGCAAACACAAAACGAAAGTAAAGCGGCAGCCCCTCGTGGACGACTGCCGCACACAAAACACAAAATAAACTCCAAGTCTGGTCCTCTCTCGTCCGACACTGTCGTCACTCCTCCCTTTTATCCACTCGTCACAAGGTTTTATGGGATTAAATTAAATTTACGGTTAAAATTAAATAAATAAATAACTTGAAAAAGTTTAAACACTCAAAATTCATCCTCTGGAACCAGTTTTGAAATCAGATATTGTGTTACCATGGAAATGGTACTTTAAAACATTTGTGGGTGGTGTCAAATGCATTATAACAAAATGTACTACTATATTATATCATCTTGACAAAATACACATTGTCGGAAAGGTCTGAGTCTCAAGGTTACATATTTTGTGATAGGAATATTGTGACAGAAATTTATACATTTATGACAGGAAATTGCATAAAAAAATTCAGTGGCGTTTGGGTATCACCTGGTGGATATTTTTTAGTAGTGCCGAAATGAAATTTCACAGGAACATCATTTTTTGTGATATCAACTTCAAATTTGGAATGTTACTTAATTAGACATATGACTTTGATTTTATAACAATTTTAGAATCCAAAATATTTTGTAAAATTTACAGAGCATTTTATTTACAGTAAACTTAAACTTCTATACATTTTATTTTTTATTTTTTAGAATTTAATTGTTTTAAATTGTTTCACTGCAGCAATAACCTAATGTTTTTCTTCTTTAAAAAGAGACCTGATGTCTGTATTCCAAAGCTTTCATGAAATTCATTCATTTCAGTTTGGATGGTTGATAAATACACTAATATACAGAAGGAGTGCAATGCCATTAACACACACACACACACACACACACACACACACACACACACACACACACACACACACACACACACATCATCATCATGGTAACACACAACACTAAAATAATTGTAACACTTTATTTTAAGGACCAATTATCACTGTTAGCTAGTTCCTTAGTAGAATGCAAATTAGCATATTAGCTGTTATTAGTACTTAAAACGCACATTTTAATTCCTTATTCTGCAAGAACATATTTTAGAACCCTTACTCCTACTCCATACTTAAACTTAACAACTGCCTTATAACTATTAATAAGCAGAAAATTAGGAGTTCATTGCAAAAGTCGTAGATTATAGTTATGTTAGAAACATAAGATTTAACAATCAATGCAAAATCATATAACTAACAACAAAAATGAAGAAGAAATATAATTATTTAAATGAAATAACATCAAATGTAAAGTGTCACGCAGGGAATGTCTATTGATTGATTGCATTTTTTAATCTTCCTTTCAGTTTTCTCTTGTGCCATTATGCTTTCTCTTCACTTGGCCAACACTTTTGGGCCTTAATTACACGATGAAGGGTCACTTGGGTTTGTTTGGTCTCAGCAGAAAATATTTTGGTTCAGCCGATGACGGATGATGCCCAAACGATCTGCTGCCAATTAGCTTTCACCACATCGAGGAAGAAGAGCCACTGCCTCAGGCTGTCTTATCGTCATGCTGAATGACTGAGCTAAGAGCTTTCACTGCTTAGAGATCCAGACTTTCCATTGACATGATACCAATAATATCTGCCCTCTCTTGACCAACTAATTAAATTAGTTTAATTAGTTCATGTGCATAACAGCAATAGTTCAGGGGTCACCAGACTCGGTCCTGGAGGGCCAGTGTCCTGCAGAGCTTAGCTCCAACCCTAATTAATCACACCTGAACCAGCTAATCAAGTTCTCACTAGGTATACTTGAAACTTGCAGGCAGGTGTGTTGAGCCAAGTTGGAGCTAAACTCTGCACGACACCAGCCCTCCAGGATCAAGTTTGGTGACCCCTGCAATAGTTGACCCTTTCTGTGTTTTATATATTTACTATACAGTATAACCACTGGATATTTAATCTTGAGTAACTGCACATTATAAGAAAGATCTAAGTCTCAAAATGTAATATTTAACCTCTATTTTACATAACAAAACATGATTGGGAAAATTATATATACTGTATATATATATATATATATATATATATATATATATATATATATATATATATATATATATATATATTCATGCTTTCATTTAAACTGTTCTTCTTTATGACTTCAATTAGTTCTGTCTTCTTTCAGAAAGTGATCACAATGCCTTTTTTTCAAAGGGTTCTTGAACTGTGATCACTTTAGCTGACATGTCATTTACTTTGTTTGTGTTCAAACATTAACAGGTTAGTCAAGGTGTTTTGGCTGGTAATGATAATAACAGTGAGACTTTCACAATCTGACCTTGCTGTGCTGATTGGATTTTCAACAGGGTGTCCTGTTGGCAAAAAAAAAATAAGCCGCTGATAGAGTCATGTCTTTTATATGAATCCTCAGGTTTAATTCACAATGCAATGTTTAAAATAATGCAAAAAATTTGTAAAATGTTATTTTTACCTTCCTCAACTTTTCTTTGTGGCCTTTTCAAATGCTGTTGTAGTAAATAGATCTAAATCACACATGTGCATAACAGCAATAGTTCAGGGGTCACCAGACTCGGTCCTGGAGGGCCAGTGTCCTGCAGAGCTTAGCTCCAACCCTAATTAATCACACCTGAACCAGCTAATCAAGTTCTCACTAGGTATACTTGAAACTTGCAGGCAGGTGTGTTGAGCCAAGTTGGAGCTAAACTCTGCACGACACCAGCCCTCCAGGATCAAGTTTGGTGACCCCTGCAATAGTTGACCCTTTCTGTGTTTTATATATTTACTATACAGTATAACCACTGGATATTTAATCTTGAGTAACTGCACATTATAAGAAAGATCTAAGTCTCAAAATGTAATATTTAACCTCTATTTTACATAACAAAACATGATTGGGAAAATACAGGTTAGTCAAGGTGTTTTGGCTGGTAATGATAATAACAGTGAGACTTTCACAATCTGACCTTGCTGTGCTGATTGGATTTTCAACAGGGTGTCCTGTTGGCAAAAAAAAAATAAGCCGCTGATAGAGTCATGTCTTTTATATGAATCCTCAGGTTTAATTCACAATGCAATGTTTAAAATAATGCAAAAAATTTGTAAAATGTTATTTTTACCTTCCTCAACTTTTCTTTGTGGCCTTTTCAAATGCTGTTGTAGTAAATAGATCTAAATCACATTCAAGTTTCAGAAAGTTTTAAGGAACGGTATATATATATATATATAATACTGTTTAATTAGAGCTGCAGACCTAATATGTTATAGAGCGATCTTAAAATTACACTCAGTTAGACATAACTGTACATAGTGTGATGAGTCTCCTGCTCTTCCTGCTACGGCCGGTCAGTGGGTGTGTCTAGGAGACTCATCAGGAGAATGATGTCCACCTGTTCTTCCTGTTATAAGAGTCGTGGCTTTGTTGGTGTGAGGTGTGGCCTGGTTTGCTCCCGGTTGCTTTGTGTTTGTTTTGGAATGTTTATTTGGATTTCACCAGCTTTTTGTGTTGGCGGACGGCACTTCAGTGCTGGTCGTTCCTGTGTCGAGTGGGTTGTGCAGTTCAGGCTGCACTACCCCCTCTCGTGCTGCAAATGTCCGTTTCCCCTGTGCGTCTCAGCACGTAAAAGAGAATTTCCTTAAAAGAGCCAATTTCTCTAAAAGAGTACAATAAGCGAGTGCGTCTTTGTAAAGACGACGGATTGTCTTTTTAAAGATGCCGTTTCACCCATGCGTTTCTGGATGCGGTCGTTACCTGGCGCCGGGTGATGGTCATGATCACTGCCTCACGTGTCTGGGCATTAAACACGCTGAGGTGGCGTTCGCGGATGAGTCATGTTCCCATTGCGGGAAGATGACCATCTCAGAGCTGCGAGCCAGGCTCCGTTTCCTCCAGGGGGGCGGAGCTCCGTTGCCTCTGCCGTGATCTAGTTTTCATCCTGGCAACAGCCAGGTGTGGACTACTTCGGGCATTAGCACGAGTGGTCTGAGGGTTACAGTGGTAGCAAACCCCTCAGGGAACCAACCCTCGGGGGACCATCGCTCCTCTAGCGCTTCACAACCAGTTGAGCCGCCAAAGTAACACGCTGGGCCCTCTTCAAAGAACGTACCAGCGGTATCCTTCGGTGCTCCTTCCGACGACCGGATGTCGATCACTGCATCGGAGGGAGAGCTTGCTGGAGAGGAAGATTCGGCTGCACTGCCGCCCTCCAGGACAGTGGCAAGGCCTGAATCGGATCCAGAGATGTCGGCTGTGCTTTCCCGGGCCACCAAGAAGGGTAGGGCTCGAGTGGAAACCTCCACCGCGTCCCGGGCCCTTGAGGTTGGACAATTGGTTTCTCGGGGTGGCTTGCGCTGGTTCTCAGCACCCCGCCTCAGTGCCTTTCTTCCCAGAGGTGCATGAGGAGCTCACCAGGTCATGGACGGCACCTTGTACTTCCGGAAACCGACCTGTTGGTTCCTCCTCCCTCACCACCCTCGACGGTGGTGCAGCTAAAGGGTATACAGGGGTCCCCCCGGTGGAGCGGTCGGTTGCGATGCAATTGTGTCCTAAAGCCGCCTCCACCTGGCAGGGCAAACCGTGCCTCCCCTCTCGGGTCTGTAGGTACTCGTCTGGCCTGTCCGGCGATACTTATACGGCCTGTGGAGAAGCTGCCTCCGCCTTACACGCTATGGCGTTACTGCAGGTTCATCAGGCCAAGGCAATGAGGGACTTGCACAAGGGTGGTCATGATCCGGAAGTTCTGAAAGAGCTCCGAACCGCTACTGACCTCGCACTCCGAGCGACGAAGGTCACTGCGAGTTCTCTGGGTCATGCGCACACATTAAGTCCAGGAGCGCCATCTCTGGCTGTGTCTGGTTGATATGAGGGACGCCAACAATGTTCGGTTCCTTAATGCCCGTGTCCAAAACTGGCCTCTTCGGCAACGCAGTCGAGAGCTTGGCCCATCAGCTCTCGGCTGCACAGAAGCAGACTGAGGCGGGTCGTTACACCCTGCCCCGGCGGGCAGCTGCTGCCTCCACTCAGAGCTGCGAGCCAGGCTCCGTTTCCTCCAGGGGGGCGGAGCTCCGTTGCCTCTGCCGTGATCTAGTTTTCATCCTGGCAACAGCCAGGTGTGGACTACTTCGGGCATTAGCACGAGTGGTCTGAGGGTTACAGTGGTAGCAAACCCCTCAGGGAACCAACCCTCGGGGGACCATCGCTCCTCTAGCGCTTCACAACCAGTTGAGCCGCCAAAGTAACACGCTGGGCCCTCTTCAAAGAACGTACCAGCGGTATCCTTCGGTGCTCCTTCCGACGACCGGATGTCGATCACTGCATCGGAGGGAGAGCTTGCTGGAGAGGAAGATTCGGCTGCACTGCCGCCCTCCAGGACAGTGGCAAGGCCTGAATCGGATCCAGTGATGTCGGCTGTGCTTTCCCGGGCCACCAAGAAGGGTAGGGCTCGAGTGGAAACCTCCACCGCGTCCCGGGCCCTTGAGGTTGGACAATTGGTTTCTCGGGGTGGCTTGCGCTGGTTCTCAGCACCCCGCCTCAGTGCCTTTCTTCCCAGAGGTGCATGAGGAGCTCACCAGGTCATGGACGGCACCTTGTACTTCCGGAAACCGACCTGTTGGTTCCTCCTCCCTCACCACCCTCGACGGTGGTGCAGCTAAAGGGTATACAGGGGTCCCCCCGGTGGAGCGGTCGGTTGCGATGCAATTGTGTCCTAAAGCCGCCTCCACCTGGCAGGGCAAACCGTGCCTCCCCTCTCGGGTCTGTAGGTACTCGTCTGGCCTGTCCGGCGATACTTATACGGCCTGTGGAGAAGCTGCCTCCGCCTTACACGCTATGGCGTTACTGCAGGTTCATCAGGCCAAGGCAATGAGGGACTTGCACAAGGGTGGTCATGATCCGGAAGTTCTGAAAGAGCTCCGAACCGCTACTGACCTCGCACTCCGAGCGACGAAGGTCACTGCGAGTTCTCTGGGTCATGCGCACACATTAAGTCCAGGAGCGCCATCTCTGGCTGTGTCTGGTTGATATGAGGGACGCCAACAATGTTCGGTTCCTTAATGCCCGTGTCCAAAACTGGCCTCTTCGGCAACGCAGTCGAGAGCTTGGCCCATCAGCTCTCGGCTGCACAGAAGCAGACTGAGGCGGGTCGTTACACCCTGCCCCGGCGGGCAGCTGCTGCCTCCACCCGTCCGCCGGCCACAGTGCACCAGCCTGCTCGTTGCCGAGGGCGGCCCCCTTCTTCGGCCTGCACCTGCTCCTGCACCGCATCCGCCTCCAGCAAGCGGCGCCGTGGAGCTGGGTGTAGGCAGGCCGCCCCACCCGTCCAGGCCCCCGTCAAACATGGCAGTGAGTGAAAGACCAAGAGGCCCCGGGACGGGTGACCCAGAGAGGGAGGAAGCTGCTCTTTGGGGGATGGTGAAGGCACCGCTCCGTCCCCCGGAGGAGGGCCGGGTGGAGAATCTGGAAAATCTCGACGAGAGAGCGGTTTTCTCTGTCCCTGGGACCCAGGAGGGCACGGAGAGTCACAGACGGACCAGCACCGGACCACACTCTTCCTCCTCCACGCACCCTCTGCCAAACTGTGGAACCAGGTAAGCGTTGCACCGCACACTCAGACCCCACTTCGGTCCGCTCACAAGCCGCCAGAGTTGGGTCCCTGCGTTCCACCTTGCTGCCCCACTGCGGGTACGGCAGGTTCTGCTGGTCCCGCTTGCACGGTATCTGGGTGCCTGGCTAGCTCTACCCAACCTGTCTCGTTGGCTTCTGCGGACCATCAGCATCGGCTATGCGATTCAGTTCTCCCGGCATCCCCCCAAGTTCAGTGGCATCCGCTTCACAACAGTGAAGGCGGCCGATGCTCCTGTCTTGCGTGTGGAGATCGCAGTCCTACTGGCGAAGGATGCGATAGAGCCGGTCCTTCCAGCTGATATGAATACAGGGTTTTACAGCCCTTACTTCATTGTACCCAAAAAAAGGCGGTGGGTTACGATCAATCTTGGATCTGCGTGTTTTGAACCAGGCCCTTCGCTGGTTACAGTTCAAGATGTTGACGCAGAAAACACATCTTCGGGAGCATCCGTCCCCGAGATTGGATTGCAGCAATCGACCTGAAGGATGCGTATTTTCATGTGTCGATCCTTCCGCGCCGCAGACCATTTCTACGGTTCGAAGGACGAGCATATCAGTACAAGGTCCTGCCCTCCGGGCTGTCCCTGTCGCCCCGTGTCTTCACGTAAGTTGCGGAGGCAGCCCTTGTTCCCCTGAGAGAACAAGGCATTCACATTCTCAACTACCTCATCAACTGGCTCATACTAGCTCAGTCTCAGCATCAGTTGTGTGCACACAGGGACTTGGTGCATTCGCACCTCTGCCGGTTGGGCCATCAGGTCAAATGGGAAAAGAGCAAACTCTGCCCAAGGCAGAGGATCTATTTTCTCGGTATGGAGTTGGATTCGGTCAAACAGACAGCACGCCTCACAGTGGAACATGTGCGGTCGGTGCTGAACAGCTTGAATTTATTCAAGGACAGGACAGCGGTCCCACTGAAACTATTTCAGAGGCTCCTGGGGCATATGGCAGCTGGGGCTGCTTCATATGA